GGAAGGGCAAGGGGAAGGGGAAGGGGAAGGGGAAGGACCCCAGCGTTTCTCTGGGGGTTTCTGGTCACAGCCCTCCCAGAGCCTCAGGCTCACACTGTCCCACCAGCTGTGGGTCACTCCTGGAAATGGACAGGGCTCGGAAGTGTCTGAAGCAGCCTCTGCCTCCTCAATCGTGTACAGGGTTCACAGGAAGTTGGTTAAAAAGCCCCGTGGCAACGTGACTTAGCTGGCTCCTGACAAGGTGAGAGCAGAACTGCCACAGGAAGGAGGCAGGAACAGAGCACATCCTGTTATTCCACATGTCTGGAACACAGGAAACAGCCAAGAATCTCCTGCCTGCCACCCAAGCCTTTATTCCTCACAGTGTAGAGACCATGCTGCTCTCAGAGCTGCTCCCATTCAAACCAGACCTTTCACTCCCCACTCCTGCTTCCTTCCACACCCCTTCCTCAAAAGCTGCTTTCCCCACAGTTTAGGACCCAGGGGCTCCAAGATTTGTGTTTCCTTTCCCAGGCACTGCATTTAGAAGGAATCTTCTGCATAATCCCTGCATTGCTCCAGCAGAGCTCACAGCAGCTGCTCTGCACCAGAACTGTGTCCCACAAAGGCCAGCAGTGCCACAAAAGGTTGTCCCCCATGGTCCAACCACCAGTCCGTGGTAAAGCAGCAGGTTTTTCTGAGTCAGAAACACCCCAGCACTCAGCAGGTGCCCTCACCTTGCTGAGATGAAGGAATTCCCAGAGATGAGTCCCCAGGGGAAGGTGGGCTTCAAGAGCAGGAGAACCACCTCCCAGCAGAGGCAGGATGAGGTGGTTGCCCTGGAGATCATCATCTCCACAGCAGCACAGATTAACCCCTCGGCTGTGGAGCCAAGAGCAGCAGGAATCATCCCTGGGGCTCTCCCTGTCAACACACACAACACAGGCAGGCCCTGAGGCTCTGGGCTGGAAAACTTACACAGGTTTGGAGCTTGAGGATGGACCTGAGTCCTCTTGGAAAGTCTCAGGGAAAGTCTCTGAGCAAAGCTCACAGACTCTGTTGTGAGTTGTCTTTGATGGCTGCACATTTCTGTCCCTCATCCCACACTGCAAACCCCAGCTGGGAGATGCAGAGGGGCTGGCACATCCCATTCCAGCACTGACTGCAGCTCAGGCACTTTAGGATCCCAAGGAATCTCTTATTATCATCAGGCTGCAACAGAAAACTCAATGGTCTGACAGCACCACTGAGAATAAAATGAGTTAACCCTGCAGAGCTCTCCAGCTTCCAAGGGGCCCGGTGGCATTTCCTAGAGAGCTCTGCTGCCAGGAGCAGGCACGTGTGACCAAACCCACCTTTTTGCAGTCCTGGCAGAAGACAGAGGAGCTGCCCAGCAGCCCCAGCATCTCCCCACAGAGCAGGCACTGCGAGAGGCCGTTCCCCATCGCGTTCTTCCTCATGTTCTCCAGCCTCTCCACCAGGCGCCTGCGGGCAAGAGGCAGAGCAGAGGTCACAGCGCTGCAGGAAAAGCTTTAAGTGCTCAGACCAGGGAAAGTCCAAAAGCACTGGGAAAGGGCAAAGGAGCTAAACCTGCCAAGCCTTCTCTATTTTCCCATCTCCCTGAAAGCAGCAGTGCAGGCGCTGACTTGCCCACTTCCCATTAGAAGCAGGAAGGCTGAACTGAAGACCAAACACCAAAACGAGCCAGACTGAAGCCATCAGACCAAAATGAGTCTGGCTATGGCACAGGAATGCCAGTAACTGCTCCCTGCTCCATCCCACAGCCCATCTGGATGGCAGGAAGCACATCTGCACCACAAAGCCTGCAACAGCAGGGCGGGCAGAGGGGAGGAAGGCGGGATAAGCCATTGGGATGTAGGGTGTGGAGAGCATGCAGAGCAAGGTTGTTCTGCCGTAAGATCACTGCTTGGCAACCTTCAGGCCTCCATCTGCAGAGGGGAACAGCAGCAGCCAGGCCATTTATCAGCACCAGCATGGAGAGATCTGGCTATCCGTGAATCCCACTGTCATTAGTGAATCCCACTGTCATTAGTGTTAATGTCCCGTTCCCAGAGCAAGGCCAGGCCTGTTTGAAAGAGGCACTGCCCGTGGTGGGGAGGTCAGGCTGCACAGCCAGACCGAGCCATCATTAGCGGATTTATGAACCTCGGCTTGGACTCCGGCACAAAAGAACTCCTGGGAGTCAACAAAAGGCATTTCAGAGAATGCTTCACCACAGGAGCTGCAAGGGCAGCGCTTGCTGCAGCTCCATCAGAGCCACACAGGAACAGCCGGGCCCTCAGGGTCACTGGCTGCTGCTGGGGTCTCCCATTTATCACAAAAACATCGCTGTCACTTCTCGTTAGCCCTCGCTAACGAGCTCAGCACAGGGCAGCAGGAAGCTGGGCCTGCTGGACACGGGCTGGGAGTCCCTGAGGTTTCCTGTCTCATGAACACAAACACTGCTGGAAAATGCTGCAGGGCTGCCCAGCAACCTGGCTTTAATGGCAGCCAGTGTAGGCCGATCGCAGCCAGAGCTCAGGCCAGACCTCCAGCAGGACTCAGAGCAAATGGGAACCTGCAGCAGCAAAAGGATGCCTGTAAATTAAATAATTCAAGCTAGCAAACCCCATCCAGAGGGCTCAGCCAACTAGAACATAAACTCATTCTCTGCTCCAGGCAAAATCCCAGGGGCCTGGTGCGGACAAGGGAAAAGCTGACTGCACTGCCAGCAGTGATCCTGAGCGTACTCCCAGCCCTGGGTACAGCCCAGCATCTTCCCAGCCTCTCCCAGGGCCACTGCCTCAGCACCGCCTGCGTTTTCCAGGGATTCTGTCAGGGCTGCAGCCTCAGCAATCCCCAAGGCTCAAGGAAAGCATGAAAAGACTTCAGAGAGGAGGAAAACATGACATCCTCCCCAGTGGTCATCGCCTCCAAACAAGCAGCATGGGAGGGGATAAAACCTGGCCTAAGGGATGCTCTGAGTGATGGAGGCTGAGCTCAGGCAGCAGGGAGAGCCACTCCTGTGTGTGCTGACCTTTCCTTGGGAGGGGACAGGGAACGTGACCGTACCCAATGCGCTGCTGCTCGACCACGTCCAGCTTCTCGGCCTTGCGGATGACTCCCAGGATGACCTCAAGTTCCTTGGGGCTCAGAGCCTGCATCTTCCTCTGCTTCTCAGTCTGGAATGTGTGCACTGACCAGCCCGTCTGGAGCCTGTGGGAGGGGGTGGAGGGCAGGACTCAGCTGGGAAAGGAAAGCACAAAACCCCTGCCCTGCCCCACAGGCCGAAGCTGCCCAGGCACACGGACTCACATCAGCCTCCCATCAGGGAAGTCTGTTCCATGACTAAAGCAGGAGTTTCCTCTCACTGACCACATTTCCACATCACCCCCTCAGCAGCAGTGTTGTCTCTCCCTGCCCTCTCACCTCCATTTCTGCTCCTGTTTGTGTTTTAGCCCCCCATTCCTGTTTGTCCATGAGAGAAGCAGCAGCCCTGGGGCTGGCTCTCCTGGGGACACCCTCACAGAGGTGGGTGCTGATGCCAGGCACCACAGATGCCAAGAGCAAACTCCCAAACACAGGGATCACCTGCACCGTCCTCCCTCCAGGATCCCACTTTAGGGATCAATGTTTGCTCTGTTCAAACACACAAATCCCTGGGCATGCCCAGAAATATAAATTTGGCAACATCCTCCCCTGGTCTAGCCCAGGTTCACATGAGGACTTCAGCAAACCCTCTGTGCCTCACATGCAGCAGCTGATGTTTCTCCTTGGCTCACTTGGCGACAGGCAGGAGCTTTCACAGCTCAATTAATTAATTACCACTCAGGAGGGGTTTGGAGGTCACTGGATAAACTTATGGCTGCAAGGAGAACGCACTCTTGGGCACCACTGTCTTGCTGAGGCTTTCTGCAGGCTGGGGGAGTGGCAGTGGAGTGCACTGCTCCCAGACAGGCAGCCCCCTCAAAACATGGGCTGTTCCCCTATTTCCTAACACTCTGCAGCAGCAGCTGAGCCCAGGGGTTCAGGCAAGAGCAGAGGTGGCATGGTCCCAGCTGCCAGGGAATGAAAACATCCAAGAAAAATGCACTTCTAGTGCTTGACTCATCCCCATCCTTTTAGACTTTAGGTTATGCAGTAATTTTAACTTCAGGGGAAAACGAGAACTAATGACAAGTTCCTAAAACAAAAGGGTGCTGGCAGCTGGAGGATGCTATCAATTATATTTAGGGTGCTGCAGAGATCTGAGGCTGCCTCCAACCCTCCCTTTCCCCCAGGGGAGGGCTTGTGGGATGGACTCCCAGGGGTGCAGGATGGGGCTGAGAGCCCAGAGCTCCACAGAGACACCAGGAAAGCTGTCAGGGCAGAGCTGAGGGTGGAAGGGGAGGAGGAGGAGGGTGGGGAGGACTCACTTGGCTCGCAGGGCCAGCTGCCGGTCGTTGGGGCAGACCCAGGGGCCTGTCCCGCTGCCGAAAATCATATCAGCCATGGCCCCAGCCTGGGGAGGGGTGGGGTGTCAGGGGTCACACCTGGAAGAAGCAAACAGCAGCCACTCTTGCAGCAAAGCAAACAGAGGTGATCTGCCAGCATCACACACGGTGGGAGCAGCCAGACTCTCACCCACAGACAGTGATAAAAACATACCATCATCCTCACAAAATATATGCCAATAAATACCTTCAGGTACCTTGAAGGCAAGGCTGGAAGTTTAGATTTTATGGTATACTCTTAAAAAAAGAAAAAAGCCAGACACTCTTTGTCAGTCCTGATTTTTCATTTCAAACTAGAGAAAAGCGTTGTCTGTAAGAATAATCTCTGCCTCCCCACCTCCAGAGCCCCAGTGCTGCAGTTCTGACAGAGAAAGCCACTCTAAAGGACACAAAGAAGCTACAGTTGCCTTTTTTTAACCTCTTAATGGGGTAACAAACAAAAACCCACGCCACAATCAGCATGAATAGTGGCAAGTCATTTCCTTCATTAAAACTGCTTCCATAATAGCCTGATATTTATAACTCCAGCCTACAATAGCAGCTTGTTTGCATTCTCTGATGCTTAAGACAGCACCTTTTGCAGCAGATCTCCAGCTGTGGCTCCTGTGCCCGGCGTGGACACACCAGTGATTCCTTGTGTTCAGTGAAAGTTCCACGGAGCCGCTCAGGAAAGGCAGCAAGAACCAGCTCAAGGGAGAAACATCCCCCAAAGAGACTCTGCAGCTGAGCAGTTCTGAGTCCTAGCAGCAGCTCAGATGAATGGAAAGCACCGAGGGATAGGCACAGCCAAAATATTTCAATGGATGCTGAACTCAACTTGATGTACCGAGCTTTTAAGCAGCTGGATTTGCTCTCCAGCAGAGCGAGTGTCTCACAAGCCCTAATGCATAAATTCCCAGGTATTAATGCTTGTCCCCAGCACAGACACTCGCCAGCTTTGAAACCATACCTGCTGGGCAGAGATAACGTGTTTAATGCTGGTTGGCAAGCAGAAATCAGATCCAATGGCAGGCAAGGTGTATCACCTGCCAGCCGTGCTGGAGTTCCCAAGCAAACACTTTTCCCAATCCCCAGCAGTGCTGAACCCACCCCTGCTATCTGCTGCTGCCACACTGAGCTCTGTGCTGCTGGGCCAGGCACAGCCTGATGGCCTTGGCCCCCTCACACTGAGCTTGGGCACATCAAACTGTGAAAAACCAGGTTCACTTATTTTTATATAGAATTTAAAAGTGTAATAAAAAGACAATTAGGAGATAAAAATAAAGGAAAGTATACAGATACAGCTGGGTGTCTCTGCATTCAGCCAAGAGAGCACACCTTACTAACAAAGGATTGGGCCTTAAAACAGAACCCTACTACAAATCCATAAATTCTCATACATATTCAGACATTCTTCTTAGGATTTTTGGTGTTCCTCTGTTTAGTTTTTTCCTTGCCCCCTTCCCAATAAATCTATCTTCTTGGCTCCACCAAGTTTCACATTCCCTGATAACAGAAATGCAATAAATTCCTCCCCCAGAGCTCTGGTCACTGCTGTCCTCATCTGGACAAGATAATCCAAGAATGGAGGGGGGTCTCTAACCATCTTTTTCAGTCTTTGGGTTATACAAACAAAAGTAGTTTTTGTTTTAATACTATGCCATAGCTCAACATATGTTATACCACTATTTCTAAGTTTTATCAGTAACAGAAATAGAAGGAACTATATTGATATAACCAAGTTTTCTGACCTTTATACACATAACATTCATTTTAATATTTGCAAAAAGCCAACAATATAATATGTATCTATAACAAAACTCTCCCTCCTGTGCTGAGCTCACACATCCCCCAGCAGAAACACCAACCTGTGGCAGAGATCTGAGAGCTCCCTCCTGCTAAACCCCACCTCAGCCCTCAGTCACAGCCAATGAACCAGTTCCCTCCCTCTCTGGCCATCCCAGTTTCTGGGTAGAGCCTGAAAATCCAGTGCTCACAACAGGCAGGAGGGAAGAGGGGAAATTCCACTCAGATTTCTTTCAGTGCAAGGGGAAATGTGTGTAAAAAAGGTGAAGGCTCAGTACAGTCTGACTTCAGCAAAGCGAGGCATGGAGGAGATGGGAAAGCTGCAGGAAACAGGGCTGAGGCAGGAAGGACAGACAGAAGTGTCACACATCACTTTTTAAACCTTTACTGCATTAGTCAAGGTGATGGCTTTTGAAAGAGACTGTCCCTTGAACCCTGGCATCAGCTGCTCTCCCCACTCTGCTCACAGTGCCACACACTGGGTTTGCATTTCCATCCAGCCCCAGAACGCCTCCTGCTCTTTTAATCTTCCTCACAATCTCAAGCGAGGAGAGAACACTGAGAACACCTTCCCCACACACATCCTCCAGCGCTCACACACGGGGGAGCAATCAGGCGTGAACAGCAAAAGAACACACAGGCTCCCACCCTCAGGCCTGGGGTAGGAACAGAGAAAAGCTACAATTGCACACAGAATGGCTGACCTGGGATTTTCCAGAGATTTCCCAAGCCTGTGATGTGTGGTTACAGGATTATATGCACATGTAGCCCCCCACACAAATGCATATATTAAATTATTCTTCAGCTGCACCATGAATTCCTCCCTCCCACTCATGAACACCTGAAGAATAGCACAGCCCACACTCTGTGTCCATGCAGGGCTCCAGGCAAGCAGCCTGTGCTGGCTGGGGGGGTCTTTGGAATAAAATCTGGAGCTGGAGATGAGCCCCACAGCACAGCCAGGGCAGAGGAGTTGGCTTTGCCAGCAGCTGAGCTTTCAGGGTGGAAAGCTGTGCTGGAAGCATCTGCCCCTCCTCAGCAGAGCTTTATCTGCTCTAGCAGAGCTGAAGGAGAGTCAGAACAGAGCACACGAGCTGAGCATTTTTCTCAGGAGAGGCTTAAAGGCATTCTCCAGCCTCACAGCACAGTGAGCTTTGCTCAGCGTGACTGAACAAAAACAAGCAATGTCATGGTCTTTTGCCTCTTGTTACTCAGCATACGCTTTCTGTCCTCCACCGTTCCCTGAGCAGCATCTGCAAAGAGAGAAGGCAAACAAAACACAGCCTAAAGAGCCACCAGATCCCAAAAGAGTCTTCAGAGAGATTATTCCCTGAAATATTTACAGGAGTGTTTTTTTCTCGGCAGTGCCAGGATGTGCCATCTCCTCTGATGGGAGCTGCTGGCTTTGCACCTTTGCCCCTGGAAGAAGCCTGGTGAGGACACACCCTGGAGAAGGAAACAGGAGTGGGACTGCAGGGCATGGTGTGCTGGGGGAAAAGCAGGACTGGAGGGACAGGACTGTCTCTCTTGGGTATGGGAATGACGCCAGAGGAGTGGAAGGCGTGGAGCATCTTCCCTCTTATCTCAGTACAGGACAAGAAGTGCAGGGAAATCAGAAACACCCAGATAGCAAAACCAGCCTGGGGAGTCGTTTCCATGGGCTGGGGTGAAACATCCCCTTTGTGCAGTCTTGCGTTTTCTCTCCAAAATACTCCAATTAAGAGCGAGCTGTCCCCTCCCTGTCCTCCTCTCCTCTCAACAAACTAACAAAGGGTAGAAGCAGCCAGTCTCTACCAGTGAGAGAGCAAGAGAATCCCACAGCTCCTGGCCCACCTGCAAGTGCCCTGCACACAGGCTGACAGCAAAGCACGAGCACTCTGTGGTGCAGAAAAACCTCCCACTCCAAGCTTCTGCTTTCTACCTGAATTCAGAATTAAAAGGGGAGCTCTTATCGATATTCTGTGACCTGCTGTAAAACCACTCCACCTGTTCATTCCTTTCCTGTGATGGAAGAAGTCATGTGAGACAAAACCTCATTAAATCTGAGTCCACCTGGCTGCCCTTGGCACAGAAGCGCAGGGGAGGAGCACTGCCCTGTGGGGCCAGGAGCATCCTGGAGGATGCAGAACCGAGCACATCCCTGCCTGCAGCTCTGACGTAGCTCTGCCTCTGCTGTCTCCACGATGAGAGTTGTACTCTGGCAACCAGAGCTGAGAACAGGACTCCAATCTGGGGGGCAGAAACCTTCCAGTGGGGCCTGAGCAAAGGGAACAATGGCAGGCAGATGCAGCCCTTGGACGATGCTCTTCAAAGAATTGCTGAGAAAGAAGCCAGGTTTTGTCAGCAGGACATTAACATGATTAACATGTATTTTACATCAACAGCTGAGCACAGACAGACACAGCAGCTCATACCTGCCACCTCACCAGCTGCAAGAGCAGATGCTTAAAGAAGAATATAGGAGCAAAGCACAACACAGCAATACTTACCCAGAACACCCTCCCAGCCTCCAGAGATTCCTGGATCGTTCACTGCCTGGCCCAGCCTGCAGCTCTGTATTTAACATCAACATTTTCCTGCCCCAAATTTACCAGCTTGTTTTTTTTCAGCATCATCTCACTACACCCAGCCCCTTCCCCACTGCTCCACCTCAGACATTTTGACTTTACCTTGACTACACCAAAGTTAAAACTGAAGGGTCTTAGTGACACTGGGGCACTCATGGCAGCAGAAAATCCTCCTCATGCAAAGACAGCACAGCCTGCACCAGCCCTGCTGCAGCTGGGCTCCTTACAGGTGCCCATGAAGCATCAATTCCTCAGAGCCCTACAAAGACAAAAAAGTCCTACACAGGCCCCTGAGGAGGCCTCCAGTCAGCTTTCATTTGCCTGGTTATTTCAGCTTGTGTCTAGATTAATTTGTTTTCATAGGAAATTAATTAGGAAACTTTTTTTTTTTTAAAAAAAAAACAACTTCATTTTACAAAAAATCAGAATTAACCAGTTGGCTAGAGCCAAGCTCCCAGTTCCCAAGCTGGTGTAATTACCTCTCCTGCTCCCAGGGCATCACCTCCCTCAGGATTCCCAGGTACGTGACGGCCTTTTTTCCCTTCTAGTGACTGCTCCCTCAAAGAAATCGGTGTAACCACAGCCTGTTCCACATGCCAGACCCCATTATCCCTGGAAAAGCTCGCCAGACCCCATTATCCCCAGGAAACCTCGGCAACTGAGCGAGTGTTTGCTCCTGTTGCCATGACAGAGGGTAAATGAGTGCTGAGGATTGATAAGGTTAACCCAGCCGGTCCCTTTTCCTCCCAGACATTGCAGAAAGGTTATTTGCTCCAGGCTCCGCTCTTCCCCTCGTGTTTTAAAGCCTCACAGCTGTTATTTCAAAGCACACAGCTGTTTTGGGGTGGCAGAGGAAGCCTGGGGGCTGCAGGAGAGTGGCAGGAGAAGCACAGCTGGCTTTGAAGGTCTGGCCAGGTCTGGGAGACAGAGCAAGGCTGAATCAGGGCTTTGGAGAAGTTTTTCTCACACATGAACCACCCTGAGCTGCTCATTCACACCCACATCCAGCTGTGGGCACCAATAAAATGCTGTAAAATGATTTTATAAGGGCTAAGCAGGCGGGAAGCACAAGCAGAGCAGAGCCAGGAGATGCCCAGCACCTCTCTCAGGCAGAGAGACACCTGGGCATGGCTGAGGAACAGTTTTGCTGTTCCTTACGAGCCCTCAGCAGCAGCTGGAGCCAAGAAACACAGGGGATCCAACGTGCTCAGAGCTGACTTGCAGCTCTGCAGCCAAAACAGCGTCCAAATAAACACCACAGAGCTTCAGCAAGGCTGGGGACAACTTCAGGACCCAATCAGACTTCCCCCAGCCTGCCTCCCCATGAAAGCTCCCTTTAAGCAGCATCAGCACCAGCAAAACAGGCACAATCTCATTCAGATCCTCATCCTGGCTGGCCCAGCCCGAATTCAACACCAGCTGGGAGGTGTTCTCATGGTGAAAGGCCAGGCTGGTAAAGAAGTGGGTGAGGATGAGGTTTGAGAGGCAAAACCATGAAGTTTCCTCTCCACCAGAGCTGCTTCCCAATCCCAGCAGCAGCAAGAAGAAGCTGTTATAAGTGTGTGTTATATTATTGGCTTTTTGCAAATATTATAATGAATGTTATGTATAAGGTTAGCAAATTTTGTTGTATTAATATAGTTTCTTTTATTTCTGCTATTGATGATATTTAAAAATAGGGGTATAATACACATATATGTTGGGCTATAACATGATATTAAAGCACAAACTAGTTTTTGTTTATATAATCCAGGGACTGAAAAGATGGTCAGACACCCCCCCTGCATTCTTAAAATTATCTTGTCCTCCAAGACCTCCAGGTGAAGGATTTATTGCATCCTTATCAGAGAGTGGAAAACCCTG